CACAAAAAGACAAATTTGAAGAAATGCAGGACGATTGAGTACACATACTTATTTTCGGAACACAAGCAGTTCTCCAATTGGTTTATTGAATATGAAAAGATGCATTTTCATGCAATACAAAACCGTTTGGATAATTTCTGACTGAATAATGTAAGAGTCATGCGTTAATTCACAGCCATTTACAAATCAACTACTCGGGAAATTTCAGAATCGTTTTGAACCTGAGCTTGTAAGACAAACCTGATATCACTGGATTTAAACACTTCATGATCTTCCGAGAACATTCCTTCTTTAGCTCATTTCCAAAAACATAATTGAAGACAATTATTGTAAAAGAAATGAATAGTTATTTGCCACTACGGTTGGTAGTTTACTAATGAGAACAAAAATTCTGCTTTTGTGTCTAAAAATACAACAATATTTTAAATATTTACAAATAAAATGTTAATTTGGAGATTTAATTGAAACCCACCAGTTGCCTAGCATTTGAAGATTGGTAAATACTACAGTCAAAAGTCGTTAATTGGGACACCCATAATCCGGAATGATCTATAATCCGGACCTCAAAGCTACAAACTTTCTGCGCATGCGTCGCTTTGACGCACGCGCAGAGGTGTTTACGCGTGCGCGTAAGACCTTTACGGCTGCAAATATATGTGTGCGCATGTGTGTTTAATGTATAACGGACGGTAAAAGGTAAGCTAAAATTATCTAATTCAGTTAATGTTGCAGATTGCGTTGTTCCTTAATCTTCAAATTGGATCCAGCTTATTATTTTTTGCAGATTGTTAGAGCAATTTTATAAAAGTAAGCTTGAACTTTCGATTATGTCAAATAGAGATATACTTTACTAATATGTAAAAGATTACAAAGTGAAAGTATGTTTCGAAATCCGAAATCTGTTTATCAATTCATGTGCTCTGCGGCGGGGGGAGGGGGGAAACGCCGTGACGCGTAATGAATTGGAAGTTGATCTGTCAGCACTATCCTTATCTTCACGGCAGATGTTTTTATTTTATTTGGCTTATAATTCCTTACTAAATGTAGTATTTCATGTCGATGTACTCCGTCTTTGATATGATTTAAAGCAATTATAGGACTTGAACAGCGGAACTTTGTAACTAAACAAGAAATTATGTCTGTTTAATGGAATCAAAGAGAAAGTATTATCACATGAAAGGAAGCAACTTAAACAACTTACATTGAAAGAAATGTTTAATAAAGTAAACAAATAAATATTAAGCTTTTTTTTTTTTTTTTTTTGTAAATTTTGATACCCTTGAGATCATAATTGTTCTTTATTTCATAAATTACGGTTTCAAATTTTTAATTTTGTAATTTCTGCATGTCATCTTACCAGATTTAAACTGATGATCTATAATCCGGAAAAATCGATAATTCGGAATCGCCGAAGTCCCGACGAGTCCGGATTAACGACTTTTGACTGTAATTGTTTTTTGCGAAGTCTAACCCAGGCTGCGTGGTTGGTTTTTGCAGTTTTCTAGGTTCTCTTTACAAAGATTTTTTATGAAAGCATCTTAACCAAATAGCTCCCATGTTCTTTCTATATTCAAATAACCAACTAACCTAGTTTAAGCGCGATTTCCAAGTGAAGTTACTAGCAAAACCCGAATACTCATTAAAAATCATGTAGCTTGCCAATCGGGAGTAACATGAAAGATACGGCGCCAATAATTGAATTGCTGTTACAGTACGCTGTTTCTAAACTTAGATGGCCATTCCTTAATTAAATATAATTTATTTGTAACTTCTACTAGAGCTGATGGTAAGAATTGAAGTGTAAATAAATAATATCGTGCAATTTTGATTAATATGAAATTAGAAATATTTGCATTCAGCAGAAAGTTTTTTGAAATATTTGCAATCTTTATAAGAAGGATTTATTGATAACCGTAAATTACTTATTATATTACTGATGATTAGAATTCAGTTCTTGACAGTTACATTCTAAATCAGAATTTTAAGGATATAATGAAAATGCGCTGCTCATAAAAATACATTTTAGGATAAAAAATGAGTTGATTTTTTATGTTTAAATGCTTTTTAAATTCATTTAATAAACATCGTACCCTCGTTGTTAATTGAATCCAGAATGTTGAATGTCGTTTATATAATTATTCTTACTTGTCCACAGAACCTGCTGACTTATCCAGCCATTAAGTAGCTGCAGATCTACATAACCATTGAACTTCCATTAATTCGGTCTCTAGAGGGTTGTATGTTTATATCACAATTTGATTTTTATAAAAATGATTATTCTAAGTCTTATGTTTCTATAAAAATATACTGTGCTTTAAAAATATGGCTGATAGTATCAGCCGCTCTTTCAGCCACTTCATAAGCAACAGCTTGTTTAGAAATAAAGTATGCAGTTAATGTCATAAAATATTTTCATGAAATTCAAATAAACATCAAACGAAAGTTCTCAGTTTTAAACAATTTGATTTAAATGAAGCTAAAGTAAAGTAGCAGATGATAAAATGCCGAAGATAAAAATTTACAAATATTTTTTTTTAAAAAAAAGGAAGAAAGAGAGAATTAGAATTTAGAAAAATAGTTAAAAATTTGAATAATATCATCTACAGTCAAAAGTCTTTAATTTGGACTCGTCGGGACTTTCACGATTCCGGATTATAGATCATCAGTTTAAATCTGGTAAGATGGCATGCAGAAATTATAAAATTTAAAATATGAAACCATAATTTATGAAATAAAGAGCAATTATGATCTAAAGGGTATCAAAATTTACAAAAAAAAAAGCTTAATATTTATTTGTTTACTTTATTAAACTTTTCTTTCAGCACGCGCATGCGTAAAGCATACATTACACATAGTCGAAATTAGAAAATTGCAACAAGAAAACTATTTGATGTGTATTTGTGATATTTATAATGATGAGGAATTTGATTTAAATCATATCAAAGATGGAATACATCAAGATGAAATACTACATTTAGTAAGGAATTATAAGCTAAATAAAATAAAAACATCTGCTTGAAGATAAGGGTAGTGCTGACAGATCAACTTCCAGTTCATTGCGCGCCGCGACATTCCCCCCCCACACACACACACACAGAGCAGCGTGAAATTTATAAACAGATTTCGGAATGGTTAGAGAAACAAAAGATATGCCTTTATCCATTTTTTGCAGCAATTCCACATTTTGTTTGATGGACATCGAAACATACTTTCACTTTGTAGATACTTTGACAGCTCCAGCATCGGAAATTCTATTTGACGTAATCGAAAGTTCAAGCTTACTTTTATAAAATTGCTCTAACAGTTTGCAAAAAATAATAAGCCGGATCCAATTCGAAGATTAAGTAACAATGCAATCTGCAACATTAACTGAAATAGATAATTAGATAATTTTAGCTTAGCTTATACCGTCCGTTATAATTTAAACGCGCATGCGTAAACGTATTATGTGCATGTGCACACGCATATGCGTATGCGTAAAAGTATTACACGCATGTGCAGAAAGTTTGTAGCTTTGAGGTCCGGATTATGGGTGTCTGGATTAACGACTTTTGACTGTATAATTTTGAAAAATATCTTTTCATATAGTATTAATAAATATTTATTACACGTCATTGAGGGAAAAAATTTCATGTAATTAATTCTCCGTAAAATTTTTTTTGAAATTTAAGGTTAAAAATAGCTGTGGCAATTCACTGTAAAAAAACTCCATAAACCACATTTGGCGTTATTATCGCTCAAAAAAAAAAAAAAGATGCCAAATTTCAAAATGCAAAAATATGTAAATTTGCATATATCTTAGAAAATTTTGAATAAAAAAGTCTAATTTTTTGCAGGTATACTAGAAATACAGCTACTTTAAGATTATGGTAAAAATTTTATAGGTTATAATTCAAAATTTTTTTCAAAAAATTTATAAAAATTATTTAAAAATAGAAATTTTAAAAATAAAACACAAAAAATGGGTAAATTTTATTTGGAGTGAACCTAAATTTTGAAATGTGAAAGGAAAAATCAAATAAGTTTAATAAAAAACAAGATATTAATAAATATTTGCCAAATTCAATTAACACTGAAGAGCTAACATTTTGAGAGCTAATATTTTAAAAACTACTCGTACGATTTTTACAAAACTTGACATTCTGGAATAATTTGAGTTGTAGAATCGAAATGTGGAAAAAAATTGGTATGTTATTTCAGAAAAAGTCTGATTTTGTGTCAAAATACCTATGTTAGAATAGTGCTATATATAAATCTAATAGTATATATCCTAAGTGGTGCTTTCGAGACATGAAAAACGCAGTTTGAATTTTGTCAGTCGTCTCAGTAGAAATATATAGCACTGTCCCCCCCTTTTTTTAAGCAGTGTACATTAGAGGCAAAAGTTAATTACAGATCTTGCAGTAATTCTATTTGTTAATCAAAAGATCTTCCATTAGGTGTATAAAAATATGTGCTTTGAGTATCTGTGTGCTCTTGAGCATCCGTGGTATAGGTGGCAGTTATACTGGCTGCCAATAAATAGATAGAGAAAATGAGGTTGATGTGTCAATTTTAAACATTTCAGTTTGCATTTATTTACTTTTTTCAATTTATATTTTTTGCAACTCATTTCAAATTTATATTTATAATACCTCTGTGGCTTTTGATTTGAAAATAAATCCAAATTATTTAATTTTTCTATTTGACAGATGAATTTTGAACACAGGATTGCTTATTAATGTTGAATGAATTCCCACATAGGAAGATAAATAATACTTGCATATGTATCAGTGGCTAATTTATATACAGCTCTTCAGTATTAAATAGTAAACATTTAATTCTCCATTTGAGTATAAAAAGTTGAAATGCATTTCCAACATGCTAACTGTAATTAAATTTTTAACTAAGTGCATTATAAATTAATGATTTAATGTTTTGTTTATATCCTAAGGAATAATGAAATAAAATATGTTAATAGCTTGCTCTATATAATTTTCTTTCTATATGTTACTTTTCAGGCAAATACTCTGATACAGTTATCCCTCGTAGCTGCATCTCTTGCTGCACCAGTTTTTAGTTATGTGGATCATTTGTATTTGCATATCCTTTGGTATGTACATGAACTGTCTTATGCTATTATAATATAAAATCAGTTTCTTTATGGTATTTTTACTTAAAGCATAATGATCCTTTAATTCATTTTCATGTTTATTTTTTCATATTATTAAAATTACTTAATTTATACTTAAATTTTTTTTATACTGGTATGCTTAACTTCTCTCCATGCCATTTACCTCGACGAAACTTGGGCTCAAGTGTTATGGGTCAATGTGTGGTAAACAAGCCAGACTGATGCTTGAGAACAGTCACAATACGAGCCGAAATGTAAGTGCTCGTGTTATAGTCAGTTTTGCATGATACTGCTGTCAAGTAATTTTGATCAAGTAAACTTTGTCAAGTAACAGATCAAGTAAACTTTGATCTGTCTGCCTTTCATAGATATTATAAATATATTTTGTAATAAATAACAGTTTCAAAATTATATTTCATAAATAAATAATACTTCAAGTAAGTAAACTTTAATCCTCCTGCTTTTTGCAGATATTATAAATATATTATATTTTGTAGGGGTTTATTAAATTTTACTAAGTGGATTGTTTTGTAACAGCAATTATGAGAATTGTGACTAACTCTTATGGTGAATGTAGGAACTAACATTTGATTATGACTGTGAAATTATAATGTTAATCTTCACGAGCCCACTCAGGATGTTTATGTTTGCCCAGCTTTCTTTTCACAAACCTATCTCGTGATGTTTATATTTGGCCCAGCCTTCTGTTCACAGGCCTGGCTTGTGTTGTTTATGTTTGGGGTAAAATCTTCATCATGAGTCAGACTCGTTAAAGCACAGGAAGATTTGAACACAGTAGCATTGTTACATAATGAAATACAAAGCATCTAAATCTTAAATCAACTTTACGTTCAATCAGGCTGCCAATTAGGTCTTTTTCAATCCACTAGTAGTTGTTAGAACACAAGACTTTATTTTTTTACAGCATATTCACAAATTATATGCATCACAACAATTGTTACAGTTCTTCATTTGTTTGCATAGTTCCTCTTTTTTCATTACTCAGTTCCAAACTAAATAAAAAAAAGTCTATGTGATTTGAGCACTGTTAGTCAGCGCCCTTTATCTTGTTAATTTGTGATTTCCTTATAAGCTGGTGAAACTGTTATGCAAAAGATTTCAGTAAAATTCCTTTAATCTGCATGGCTTGGGGCCAAGGGTTGTGCCAATTAAGGAATTTTGCAGATTGTAAGTCATATTATTGTTCCCAGTTCTATGTACATTTTTCCCCTTTTTAATTTTTCCATTAAATCTGGATTGTTTGTCACTTAAATAATTAACCTGTTCTTTCATGTATTCATACCTGAAACATTCAAAATTTCAAAATTTATTGAACTAAAGCATTTAATGAACATAAAGCTATTATATTTTTTAAATAATTACATACAAAGAAAATAATGTCATTACAAGGAAAAGATATCTTGAAGAGATAAATTAGGGAAATTTTTTTACAAAATGAGGTCTCCTAAAAAGTGATTGAGGAAGTTTAAATTACTATTGAAGTAATTTTTTACATTCTTAATTGAGAGAAAAAATAAGTGCATTATTTGCAGAACCCCAATTGTAAGGCTTTCCTTAAATTAAATTTCTATGCTATTTGTGCCACTATGTTCTCTGTGTGTGTGTGCATTTGTATTAATAAACTAGAAAAAGTGCTAGAACTGATAGTTTCATTTTATTAAAATAAAATTTGTTTTATCCCTTATCCGATAATTACACATTTTTCATTATATTATTATTATATTAACATGCTAACTATAAGGGCTTTTAAATTGAAATTTAACATTTGAAAAATTGTGAATAAATAAATTCCTTATGTATGTTCACCACATAAGTTCTTCACGAGCTAATTTTTAAAAATAACGGAATATGCTGTCAATTGTAATTGTTTATTTGAAATAAAAAGAAAATTGTAAATTCATGATCATTATTTGCTTTAATGCTGACATATATGCAGAGAATGCTAAATAACTTCAGTAATAAACCTACTAACTTCGTCAACCAAAATTTTTTTTTTTTTTTTTTTTTTTTTTTTTTTTGTTAAAAAGTTTATTGGCCTGTTTATATATAAAAATAAATGCCGTTAAATTTACCATGCTGATCTTTCTAAAAATCAGAGTTTTTAGTTTTCGTCTAAAAATGACTGCAGATTACTCAGGTTATTGGAATTCTATCATAATGTAAGTTTATTTAGTCATAAGTTATTTATTTATGTAGAATGTAACATATATTTATTATTTTTTTTATGGAGAAATGCAGAAAATATTTGCACCAGGAGGGGGGGGGATTTTTTTTAAAATGGTATTTTGCATTAGTTTGGGAAAAGATTATTAAAACCAGAGTTTACAGTTCTGTCAACTACTTTATATGTCAGATATTTTGATCGATTGCTTTTGTAATACTTTTGCTTGAAAATTTTGTCCCAACTTTAATATCAGGCTAAGAGCTTAACAGCTTTCTGATTGCTATATGTTTCATTTTAGGTTCATTACAGTATATGAGCATTTACCTGCTTTGCAGATTGTTCAGTTGTTTCCTAGATTGTTCTACAGTAAAATTATTTGTTCTACAACCTAAAATTGTACTTTTTAGTGCATTTTGCTTTGAGGTTAGAATGAGTCTCCTTATTTTTATTACTTCTATTAAAAGCAGTGGATAAAATAATCAGGAAAATCATTAAATAGAATGTCAGATGAGAAATATTAAAAGTGTTCAACTAGCAACAACAACCTGTAGCCTTTCCTGTAATAATTTGTTATGTTATTATACGTGTGAATGTTTGCCTGTCATTTATAAAAACTTAAATTCGTAATTTTAAGAGAGTAAAATAATGGAAAATACTCTTATACGACTGCTGAATTATAAAGGGTGTTAGAAATCAAAATTTTATTTGGATTCTGCTAAATCAGAATCAGTTTCCCTAATGCTATTATATCTCCAAGTATTTCATTTGGAATAGTTTTGCAATTTTCATGAATAAAGAATTGTATTAACCTAAATTTATGTCACATAAATGTGTGTAGATAGCTAAGTCCTAATTGATAAATTTATAATAGATTTTTTTACTTAATTAAAAATTATTTTTCCTGTAGAATTGTCTTAATTTTCTTATTTTGTTTTATTAGGTACATTACCGGAACTACCACAGTTCTCTCAGCTGCTAGTTATTTGTACTATAAGCAATCTACATACAAACTATTTACATTACCAGAAAAGAAGAATAAAAGTTGATCCTTTATTTTATGAGGAAGAAAAGTGCAATCTTGCATCTGTTGATATTTTATTAAGTGCTTTAGATTGTTACAATATATAAAAATAACTACATGATCTATTTTATCTGGTAAATAAAATTTTCATAATATTTACCAAAGTACCTTATGATTAAGTGTTAAGTATACTACTGTCCCTGAAATTGAAATTATATTACATAGAACCTCATGAAAAGGAAAGGGAATGTTTATTAATTAATCTAATTTAAAATAAAACTGTTAGCTCCTTTTTAATGTTAATTGTTACATTTGCACAATTTTGTAAAGATATATAAATTATCAATTTTGAAAGAAGTGCAAGGAAAAGATTTTAAAAATTTATTAGCATATGACATCATGAAGTAAAATTTTTTAATTAAATTGTAAATTTGTATAAAATTTCATCAATTAGTTCAGAATATTTAAGGAATATTTATGAGCAAGCATGTTGGAGAGAAATTTTACATTAAATACAATCAAAAATATTTTTGTTTTAGCATGTTGTTGCATATCTCATATCTTTTTGTAATACACATTATAAAATATCAGTTATTTCTTTGTGAAGTAGTGTGCTTAGATCTTTGTGAAGAGCTGAGACATTTGTGTCCCAGCCTTTGGCTTGAAAATCGTTTGTCCAAAAAAATCCTAAATGCTAAATTTACCTTAATTATGACATATTTGGTTAGGAAATGGGGTAATTTTTTTTAAATTCGTAATCAAATGGTTAAATTATATTGTAATTAGTTAACGTTTAATAAGTATCCTTTTTTCCAACAATTTTTATTTATAACACTAGATTAAGTCTTCATACAAAGAAATAGAAACAATGTAAATAAAGACAAAATATAAAATGACCGAAAGTTGTTGAAATAATGTGAAAGTAAAAATAAAGGAAATGGCCACTATTTGCACTCAGCTGTTAACATTTGAAATATGGAAATAAAAATTTTAGTGAAATTTAAGTACAAAAGTAAAGAATTAATTAATCCCAGCATTGCAGTCTGAGCATCTCTTCAACGAGAGCAATGAAGCATCACAGAACAGATGCACTTATTAGTCTCTTCAATTATGCTTTAACTGGTAGAATCGGAAATGAGATATTTTCATATATCCAAAATAGCTGTTGGAATTTTAGCTGGCCCATTGACTGCAGAAAATTAAATGTATATATTGCAAGGCATTTGTTTATTTTTTTTTAATTTTTACCATGCGCACGAATTGATAATTTATTAATCTTCCTTCTGTGAACTATATAGTGTTAGTGGAACTGTCATCATTATCTTCTGCATTCCTTTATGCACTCATTTGTTGCCTTCTGCTTTTCATCTAAAACCTATTGTCCTCGTAATCATTGCTGTCATATAAAAATAACTTTCTTATAGCCTCAATGTCATTAGAATCATTAATGTTAAACATTCCTTTTTTGTCTGCCATAATTGGTGTGGGACTGAATAAGCAAGAAAAATTAAATATTGCGATCAATCATTTCTTGTGTCAGATGCGGGCCTTTTATTTCAACATTGAAATAAAATAGACACAAAAATTATATCAAATGGTAAATGTTTAAGACTAACTGTTAAGACTGTTAACAATAAGAATTTCATAATAAGTAAAAGAAAAAAGTATAATGAAAAATTGCATAAATGGTCATGCATATCTTTAAAATTAAAAAAGGCAAGTTTTCGGAATTATTAATGCCTCAAAATTAAAATTGTAACTGAAAATTCATCAAAGAGAGTTGAGAGAATAGCAAAGACCAGAAGTGGGTAGTGCCTTTTGGCTTAATGATATAAACTCAACTCTAGTGTATCTCTTACATATGCATTCTCACTGGAAGGTTGTTAACAGTAATTAGCAGAACCTCTCGCGGAAAGTAAAATGAAGAACAAGCATGTGCTGTCATCTAGCTACATAAAAGCTGTCATAAGAACAGTGAAATGAACAATTTTTTTTTTTTTTTTTTTTTTTTTTTTTTTTTTTTTTTTATTTCTGTATATAAAAATTAGGTATTTTTCTGTTATTATCAGGACCACACTAAACTGACGAGAAATCACCAAAATGGGCGACATTTTGGTCCGTTCCCTGTATAAGTGTAATGGGTATTGTAATTGATCCTGTATATAACTGGAAGAAAAACTAAGCTTGCTGTGCTGTTTATTGAATTAATAGAAGAGTTGGACTTTTAAATTTTCAACTACTTTAGAAAGACAATTGAAATTAACTTCTTCAGGGTATATCAGATGGTGCCGCCTCTTAACCACGGTATGTCGCTTCATCGTGACTATTTTCCTTTCCTGGCGAGTTTTGTTTTGGCCTCCTTTTATGACTTCATGATTTTTATTTAATTATATTTTTGGATTTTCTTAACTCTCATCACCTTAGAGCACTCTACTTCACTAAGTAGGAACAGCTAATTATTTATACTAGCTAGGCACTGCATATTAGCGGAATATAGAGTTTCTCGGAAGTAGTTGTTTTAAGTTTAGCATTGAGTGCGGAGTATAGAGGTATCTCCATGTAAGCTTTGGCTTTTAGATGCGCTGTGTTTAACGTTCTCAGTAGTTTGAAGTATATCTATTGATTGTGATTTGTAATACTGAGAAGAGCTAAATGAGTATTTTTGTGGAAAGTTCCGGCATTGTAAGGTGTTCCTTTGGTAAAATAAATATATTAAACTATCATCAGTTAAAATCGCAATAACACCTTGTATTTAGCGTACATATGTTAAAACAATCGATTTAGAGGGCAACTAAAAGTCCCTCCTCATCAGGAGAACGAAATTACTAGAAAGGGGAAAAAGAAGAAAACTAAAGCAATGGCAAAGGTGTCTCAGAAATACATGGTCATTATCAGCACACACATGTTCGAAACCAGATTTTGAATCAGATTTACACTGGCTGCCTACTTTTACTGAGCCAGGCTATCTGATCAAACCTATAACACAATGATTTAAACGCAAACAAATCAAGGAAGCGAGGGGCAACTGCACCTTCACGCACCAAGACTGAACCTCGAATAAAGGGAAAGCAACCTCTGTAATGGCTTATTTTTTTCTACCCTCCAGTAGTACCAAATGCAGGGAAGCAATGCCATCTATCGTCAAAAATAATAAAGAATTATCATAATAGAATTTTAAAGGCATTAGGGAGGACTGGATTGGACTTACAATCATTCACTAAACGTGTTAAATCCTTGTGAATATGAAAAGCTTTAAGAAATCCAATTCACCAACGGAAGAAGCCTTTTGGATAATTTTTGCAGAACCAAAGTCAAAATTATGATTAAATTTCCAACTATGATATGCTGTTGAAGACTTGTTAATTTCACCTTTTTGAACATAGGATTCATTTTTTCTTGATACGAAACTTTAATGCTCTTTTTGTTTGGCCAATATATCTCAATCCACCCTGACACGATATACAATAAATTCCCCAAGAATTAAAGTCAGAAACGCAATCTTTTAGAATCGAACTGTGAATTTTATTGATAGGGGAGTATATGACTTAAAAATTGAATTTCTGGAGAATCCGTGCAACTTTATAACTAACAGAAGGATAAAATAGAAGCACTACAAGGTCATTAATATTATTTCTAACAGTGGAATGTCTTCTTTGATGGGAATCTGAAAATTTTTTAACAGCTTTATCAATGATCACTGGAGAAATTCCTCGGTCAGTAGCAACTGCTCTCAAATAATTAAGTTCATAGGTAAGCAAAGATTCTGAGAAACAAACTTTGAGTGTGCGAAATACATAATAGTAGAAAGAAGCCATCTTTTGCTTAACAGGGTGGCATGACTTAGAGCATGGGGTGGTAAACAAACTGAAAAGGGTTTACGGTACACAGTAGTGCTAAAATCTCAATTTCATTGCGGATTATAAGAATATCAATGAAGGAGAGGGAATTGTTGGATTCAATTTCAAGAGTGAATTGGATGGCTGGATTGAATTTATAATTGAATTTATAATAGATAAAATATCGGATAAATCATCTTTATTACCATCAAAAAGTGCGAAAGTGTCGTCTACATACGGAATCCAGAGATGAAAAGATAGTTTATCAAATAATTTCTCCTCAAAATAGTGCATATATATGTCAGCAAGTACAGGACTGAGAGGATTACCCATAGCCAATCCTTCAATTTGACGAAAATATTTATTTTGAGAAAACAAAGTGGGTTTGACTCGGAGAGACTTTAGTAAGCGAAACCAACTCATCAATTTCAGCAGTGGGAAATGGAATTCCCAAAGCCTGGTTTCAAGACATTTTAGTGCTCCTTTGACCGGAACGTTAGTAAAGAGTGATTTGACATCAAATGCAACTATAATAGAACGCAGTGGAGAAATAAAAGCCATTGCAGAGGTTGCTTTCCCTTTATTCGAGGTTCAGTCTTGGTGTGTGAAGGTGCAATTGCCTCTCGCTCCCTATTTTTTGACTTCCTTGATTTGTTTGCATTTTAGTCTTTGTGTTATAGGTTTGATCAGATAGCCTGGCTCAGTAAAAGTAGGCAGCCAGTGTAAATCAGATTAAAAATCCGGTTACAACCACGTGTGTGCTGATAAAGACCACGTCTTTCCGAGACTCTTTGCCATTGCTTTATTTTTCTTCCTTTTTCCTCTTTCTAGTAATTTCGTTCTCCTGATGAGGAGGGACATTTAGTTGCCCTCGAAATTGATTGAGTGTTTTAACATATGTACGCTAAATACAAGGTTGTTATTGCGATTTTAATTGTCACATTGCCGTGTTTCTCTTCTATTCTATCACCAGTCATTTGCACATTCTATCTGTTACGAAACTGTACGCATGCAATGATATATACGTAAGCTAAAAAAATGTAAATTAGCTTTATAATTCAATTTAGCAATAGGCTTTTAATTCCTCATTTTTAAATTTTAGTATTTCCTCTCTGTATTCTAAATATTGAAACAACTTTCTTGAACTGTATATTTCTAAATCAATCTATGACACGTGGCTTGCGGTACGCTGATGACGTAGCTAATTGGGAACTTGAACTCAAGAATTTGAAAACTGAAACCTTTCTAACCTAAATCTTCTTTTTTGGTGAGCTGCCATACTGGATCACTGCACACTTTGCTTCAGCTTCTGTGCTGCTTAGATGCAATTTCGCTGTGCTCTCTTTCTATCGCAACAGTATCAAAAATGTAACTGTTCTTGAATAGGCATGATTAGAGTGCCAAGTAAAGTGTGTCCAGAAATGTGAATTTAAATAAAAATGGAATTTAATCCACCTCGATTGCCAAGTTTCCTATTCATTATGTATTGTCATTCTACTCAAAGTTCTTCCTGTTGAATATGGATCTACAATTTGTCCTGTCTATGTGATGCACAATCTGTATTTCTACCTTTCTGCATCTCAATGTTCCCACTTCAGAACTTCTAAATTTTTTTTTTTTTAATATATATAAAGTTCTCTTATAAAAACTCAATCACATTGTAAACTTATATAACTCATTCGCATTGTTAAATTACTAATTTAGAAAAGATAGCTTTAAATTTTTTTATTCCACGTAAAATAATATTGCATGTTGCACAAATGTAATTTTGAAAGATTAAGAAGAAATTTTCTTGTCAAATTTCTTGAATTTTGCTCCTTACACATTTGCTGGGAATAGCTGAACCTGGTCATTTATCCAAATCACCAATAGCTTGCTCAGAATGCAAATTACAGACTACCGTCTGTAGTAGACCAGTATTACACCTGCAAGAAGGAGAGAAAAACACACATCCACATCCCAAACTTTAGACAAGGAGTCAACCTTTGTTAATCACAATATCGTTCAGGACAGGAAATGTATATACGGTATGGCAGAACTGAAACTGCGCCAGAACCAGGCCCAATACTTCTCAGTTTTTAAGAGAAATCTTAATTTTAGACCGGACTGTACCGGAGCCCTAAAAAGACGGCATTTCTTTCATGTAACTGAACGAAAATTTTAGCAGA